TAGAGTTTAGACTTTAGGGTTTAGGGTTTAGGGTTTAGAGTTTAGACTTTAGGGTTTAGGGTTTAGGGTTTAGGGTTTAGGGTTTAGGGTTTAGGGTTTAGGGTTTAGGGTTTAGGGTTTGGACTTTAGGGTTTAGAGTTTAGAGTTTAGACTTTAGGGTTGTGGGTTTGGGGTTTAGGTTTAGGGTTTTGGAGCATCTGCGAAGTTGGCCTTCGGGTGAGGGAGGTCGAAGATGAACCCTACATAGGTAGCTCTCTAAAACGGGGTCCCTTTCAGGATCCTTTAGGTTAGGGGGTTTAGGGTTTAGGGTTTAGGGTTTAGGGTTTAGGGCCCTACTATATGGGGACCTAAAGTGGGACCCGACTTTGGAGAACTCATTATCCACGTAGGTACGGATATGCTGGAATCGCAGCTAGGTGCTCGAAAACCCAATCACCCGCACTTCTATAGGCCATAAAGAAAGCCTCAGTCCCTACCGCCCAACCTCGAAGCTTTCAAACCCGCTGACAATATTTGAGCTCCAACTATCCCAACCCCAACTGCGAAGAGCACAAAAACAAACATAATGTCGACGGTGGGTTTCGAGGGGTTTCGGGTGTAGGGCGTAGAATCTATGCAGCAGCAGCTATAAAAAAAAAGAGTGATCATGACGATAACAACTGCAACACCAATTGCAACAGACAGCATCATCATAATCAGAGCATAGACGACGTTCGTCATGATCACCATGATCTCTCGAGAACGTATGGGTTCGTCACTGCAGCAACTGGTATTCAATTCATCAACAGGCAGCCGCTGTTTCGGGGCGTTTGAGTTTAGGGCTCAGGGCGTTGAGTCTACAATATTTTATAAGATGAAGACTTCTTAGAGCTTCATGGTAGAGGCCTGGCGTAGAACGCGCGGCTTGGGGTTATCTAATGTAGGGTTTATATGGTTTAAATTAGACTCTATATGCCCTGAACTCGAAAACCCATGTTTTGGGGTCTTGCAGGCCAAGTTCGTCTTGGACATCAGGGCTTGCTGTAAGGTAAGATCGTGACCTTTGCAATTGCGAGAGGGTTTGGGGAATTACGCGATTAAGTATATGGGATCATTTATGTAGCCTTTGCTGGTCGGGTTGTGATGTGGGTTTAGGGTGGTGATCAGTTCAGAAGCCCGAAGAAAATGTACCCCCCCCCATCTTAAGAAGACTGATCCAGCCCGCATAAAAGCCTGTATCAAACTGTGATAACAAAAGCACGTCCAACAAAACTGCAGTAAAATTCCGACCTAAACCCAAAACCCTCAACCCTAAAACCCAAAACCCTGAACCCAAAACCCTGAAGCCTAAACCCTGAACCCAAAACCCTGAAGCCTAAACCCTGAACCCTAAACTAGTTTCAAGAAGTGCCCTCGCCAGGCTTCAGCACCCGAAAAGCGGGACGAGCCTGCTGCGAACGGTCCCCGCGCTGACGGCGCCATGTCGGCTTTGCTGTCTAGGATTTAAGGCTTTCGGGTTTAGGAATTCGGGCTAAGGGTTGCGGGTTTGGGGTTTAGGGTTGAGGGTTTAGGGGAATCTGTCCTAGGTCAGATAACAAGCCTAAGAAGCCAAGGCTAGAAATCAATGTAGCCCAAATAGGTTTAACTCGACGCGGATAGTATAGCTTACACCACAGTAGGACTTCCCACAAAGTTTTCACTTCACACATATAGTAGGGAACCATAGTCGGAGCCTTTGACAGCACCTACACACAAATTTCCGAAGGGCTTTCCCTGAAAAAACCATTGTTTGCTACTTTCTGCCGGTCCTAATTAAACACCCTAAACCCTATAACCCTAAACCCCTAAACCCTGAACCCTAAGTTCGGGGTGGACAGGTTCGATGGACGCCTTCGTGCCAAGTGAAACCCACATCCCAAAAGCCTTCTTCGAGTTTAGGGTTTGGGGGTTACGGTTTAGGGTTTGAGGGTGTGGAGTTTGGGGGTGTAGAAATTTACGGATGTAGGCACTGTAGGTTTTAGGGTCACCCGCTAGGGCTATGATTTCAGTCGAGGCCCCGCCGTAATCCAAGTTACTCCATGCATGGCCCCTGAAAAGCACAGGTTTGGCCTTCAAGAAACGGAGCCCTAAACCCCCCAAAAAACCCTAAACCCTAAAACCCTGAAACCCAAAAAAACAAACAAAACCAAAACCCCAAGAAAAACAAAAAAAAACACAAAAAACCCTAAACCCTAA